GTGCCGCTCACTAAAGACCAGAAAGTTTTCGCATATTGCAGATCATTCATACCCATGAACAAAGCCCGGGCGTTTCACAGCTTACCCTTCCCCTTTCGTATTTCCATCATATTGGATGAGTATTATCGCGAAGAAAACTGGCAACCCTAGTTTTCTAACTCGAGAGCCGCTTTGAATCGAGAGAACATGTACTCTTCAAGATGTAGTGTGGCAGAGGAAACAATGCAGGCATGTTTGCATGCATCCTGTACCCCGTATGCATGTGATTCAAGCAACCCCCTGGGTTTCCATTGGCTTGAGGCCCTTGACAGTTGTTGCAAAGTGAATTCAATCCTGTTCCTGATTGATCAAATAGTTTTATTGAGTGGGGTACCGTCATGCTTTTAGATTCCGAGATATGACGTCCGATCTTCAAAAAAACAGTTTTTGGCTACTAAGAAGACAACGCTAATGCAAGTCATGAAGTCGATGCTAAACTACAAATAAGTGAACTCATATTCTCCCGCGGTCATATACCAGAATCTCCTCTTCGCTTCTTTTGCACATGCCCTCTTTTAATAGATTCAAACCCTGTCATAACTGCCATTCTATGTGGGTTTCTGACGTTCTATAAATTCCTGCTGTTATGAGACGGATATCGGAGCCATTCCTTGAGCTCGGTTTATTCCGCTTGACCCTATCCACCCTACAACGAGCGCATCGGGGGTACTTGCAATTGACACAAGGGTCTAAAGCTACAGGTATCCCACCGTGGCCACAGTAGCACTGTTGAGTACGTAAGTGGGTGGTCAATCATCATCATTGCAGATCGGCTTTGACTTACGCATGTCCACACAAAGCCAAATTTCGGCCTAGCAGGCTGCGGAGGAAAACATTTTAGTTATAACCATTATTGGCGAAGAACCGGTTGTGGTGTCTGGGGTCCTAGGCATGTCATACCATATTGCGAAGATTTTCTCTCGCCCTTGTGGGAAAGCTAGCCTTCTTCGATAACAAATTGATCTACCCTACCTGGCACCAAGACACGGTCTCAGCATTAGGGTTTCGATAGTTCCGTTTTTTGTTCGTTTTTGGAGCTATTGTGAGACGTTTAGCTATGTCGACTGCAGCAAAAAGGGGGCAGCAGCGAACTTGTGGAGGGTATCTAAGACTCGCGCAATGTTGAGAGAGGGGCGCAATTGACCGAAGCGGACTCAAAATGTGCGCCGTTATGTCTCGGGCGAAACCCAAGAGCTTCCGTAGCTTGTTGAATCGCGTTGGGAAACAATAGTCTTCGGTGCGTGACAGAAATGACCCGGTTTCTGCGAGCGCTTTGTGTGTGCCAGGAAGGATGAGTGAAATGTCCACTGTGTACTCGAGCAACTTTGATGGACGGAAGATGAAATCGGAAGGGACACGAACAAGTACCGCAGGTCGCACCAGCATTATGATCACATGATCCAAAGAAGGGGCTGTGTTGGGTCACCTCCTTTGGCAAAAGAGACCTTCACTCGGTCTTTGGGGGTGCGGGTAGTCCACTGTCTCAGACACGGGACAGTGCATTCATTTGTAGCGTTCCATTGGAGCGACTTGGGAAGGCCATTAGCGATGGTGCGGTCTGGCGTGGAAACTTGGGTTTGTGGACGATGTCGACTTCTACCACGTGCAAAGTTGGCATCAATCTGGAATCGGGTTCTCAGATGCATCCAGCTGATACTATGGTAGCTGTGCTTCTCAGAAAATGTGCTATTTCGCGGTTATTTCAGAGATATTTCAGCAACGGAAGCCGTTGAACGTCTCTTGAGACTATGGTTGTAAGAAGTTATATGCATGCAAGTGTGTCATCTTGTGACCTGCGCATGCCTACACTGCAGGATACTTGTACCTTTGACATCACTCACCGCCAGAGCGGTACTGAGAAAAGACGCCACCGCTCTCGACCTATCGAAATTGAAGCAGATGTACCGTACAGCATTTGAATCCGGCAAGACGTTTTGTTGGCGGATTTCATCAACAGTGAAGGACAGCGGGCGACATGGGTGATCGTGCATCGCATGGGTTAATAAAGTGCTGCGAAGCGGAAACAAACCGCTACTCGAACGGGTATTATCGGATACTTTCCATCTTTCTGACTCCTTATCTACTACGTCCAGCACGTCCTTGGACTAAGCAAGAAACCTGCTTCTCATTCGCGCCTCCGTCATTGCCGGATTCCAACCTTCACATATTTAGGCCAGGTAGACAGACTGCCAACAGCCCTGTCCATTCCATCACGATACTTGGCCATTGTCGGGAATCATGACCCCAGTGCCACATCCCACACTCACCATCGTGGCACCAATGAAAGCATGGATCCCCAACGCTCAGCAACGAAGGACAGCCAGATTCATGTTCATATGACCTGCTTACCCTGGAGTTTCTCGGCAATTGGGCTGGTCAAAGTGCGTGACCGTGGTGACTTCGCGCTGATCATGCCCAACTGGTTGCCTTCTAGTTGCCTCGTTACGACCACCTCACTATGGTCCACGGCTATCTCCCGCGATATGAATCGTCAGCTTAACCGAACAACCGAATTTGTCGAAAAATTCCGATCGTCTCCTGCCTCGTTTCTGGTTCCTCGCGCAACGCTTTCCGAAATACCAAAATTTGTGCAATCCAACAGCCAGCTCACGTTCTGGTCCTGTGACGGCGCACCGCCTCGATTATCGTGCGGGCATGCATGCGTCAATGTGCACAAGTGGAATGACAGACGCCCGAGGTGGTGGCTTTCGTCGCAATTGTGCTTCATTTGGGCCGCTATCCCATGGCTGGTTGCCATGTGTCTGCATCGCAACACCCTTCCTTATACGGTGCTACTCCTGTTTTCCCGGCGCTCCAGAATGACACCGAGCTAACGACTTGAAAGTGATATCAGAGGACGGGAGGGTGCGTTGGAGTCAGCCTTCGGGAGCGACCGATCTATCCAAGACCCGCCGATCCAAAGACAGTCGTCGGATGTTGGTGTTGGTTGGAGGGATAGTTTGCTGCCCATCGGATGAAAGCTGATTGACCTAATGAACAGTACTCATGAGCGACACCGAATATTCTCGAAGCCTGTCAACAAAACTCAATGGCGAAAATCAAATTTCTGTCACGGAAGACGAGTGGCTGCTGCGAGGATGACATCCTGGCCTGCGGCGCTCCGGGCCGCTTCACTACAGGGGCCACTCAGCGAAACCCTCCGCCACCTCACCTCATTCAGTGTGAGGCTGCCCTCACGACCTATCACTTTATAGCGTTATTCACTGGACTGGCAGTGGAAGTTGGGTACCTAATTAATTTCTCCTTACAGAAGCTCACCAAATTCTGACTCTTCGCGCAGGTAATCAGTGGTCAAATATGTGTGGCTGCCAAGTGTCAGTCCCCACAATTGCGACTAGTCTGTGGGCTAGCGGCGCTGTTCCAAAGCAATTGTTTCTCGCCCGCAAACGGAACATGAAGTAAATGCCTGGAGAGCCCTGTCGTCCAAGAGCCATTTATGGAACGATTTCAGTTCACGATCACTGAGTCAACACATAGACCCGCGGCTTTGATTACTCAATTGAAGTCAAAATTGCCAATATTCACGCCTATCACCGGGCTTGCATTCTTGGCCTCGAGGCCTCATCTTGAGATGGCAATGATATCTCTTGCGATGATGGCGAGGCAGCATCACGTGATCAGTCAGGAGAACAGAGGCCTGGCCACACGAGAGACGATCCCGTCTGCGAACACAGCTTTCCACCACAAGCAGCGGCCCGAATCTCGTGCGTCCAGCAGCTTGAAGCACCAATGGCTGCAGCAACTTTAGTATAGCCAATTCGCTATCTTCCTGACTTCTTTGCGATTGGAATTTCCCCCTCCTCATCCATTGGGCACGACCGCCATCCGAGCCCTACGAATCGACACCACCACCACCACCACCACCTCTGGCTTCTACTCCGGGCGTTTCGACAGCCTCCTTTTCCGGCCATCCAATAACGGACAACTCGGCTAATGCATGTCGGCCTTAGAACTCCCGACCAATCGCAAGATCGAAGCCCTGGACAAAACGTGGTGGCCCTGCGCCGCCTCACGATCGAAGAAACGTAAAGGATGGTCTGCTTATTACCGATTGCTCAAATACTTGATCCACGTCACTAACAATTGCTCTGTCGATAGCCACCCCGCAAAAAGTACGCTTTTATGTGGACATGCGTATGTTTCCGATATAACCCACTCCACTGCCCACCGCTAGGTATTGTTTGCCTGGACGACATCGACCCACCAGACCCGAAGCTATCCATCCATATATTGATACCAAACCAGTGCTATTGCGGCCAAAGTGGCATGACGGTGGTGGTGGACCCATGCCCCAACTGTCACTATCCTCGCTGCTCCCGGTGCCGAGTCGATAGAGTGCAGACACGCGGCCACGATCACGAAGATTGCTCTGAAAGCTCCGAGTTGCCGACCGAGGAAGACCTTCCGGATCACGATTCCGACGTCGAGCTATCTTCGGGACCTGAGGAACACTTGGAATGACAGAGGAGAAGTTGATGGTAGCTGTGAGTACGATTCATATAGCGATTTTTCGATTCCTCTGCTTGAATCCCCTTCCTTTCGGGGGCCATATGCGCCCACCACCACGCTTCCGGTTTTTTTTTTTTTTTTTCTTTTCTTTTCTTTTTTCTTTTTTCGTCCCACCCCATTCGTCTCCTTTTTTTTTTTTTTGTTGGTTTGGTTTGGCCCTTCTCCCTCCACACGAATGTAGGTGGTCTGTGCAGGCACCAACAGTGTCCTGTCTCGGACCCCTGACAAACGCCGACAGCCAAGTCTAGCATAATATGTGGGATGGACCGGTGCGACGTATCATACCTTGTAGTAAATGTAAGATACAGTCCCTAGGTTGATGTCGACGTGCCCAATAGTGTGATCGCTCTCTTAACTCCCATGATTTTACGTTATTGTTGAGCTTTCTAACAGTCACAATGGGAAAAAATAGATATTATACGTAGCTGAAGATGTTGAATGCAAAGACCGAATTACTTCGTGGCCAAGACCTACCGCTCACTGCGAGAGGTGGTGATATCGATGTTGCAACAAAGCCCGAGGTAGCAGGGCCTATACAAGGACCGTTTGCATGGCCCCCAAGGTTCTTTGAGCGGCAAACAATATCTAAATCCTGGGAAAACAAACCGTGGGCGCAATGTCAAGGGGCTGATGCGTTCAATTCCCCGGAAGATGAGATCAGCTTCTTTCTCAGGATAGACGATGACTCAGCAAGATATCAAGGCCGCGTTCGTCCAATACTGGACATCTGTTCAGGTGCAAGTCTGGGGGACTTGCTCGATGGCGATGCTCCCGGCCCGCTACAGAAAATGGCATGGTTGATTGATGGCAACAACTCCAAGGGGTTCTGGAGGTCTCGGCCCTGTTTGGGTGCGTTGTCGGCGCGGCAACTTGCAGCCGAACTAATCAAAGATGTGAGCTGTCTCAAGTTCATGTTGGACACGTGTAACGGGTCCTTTGCTCGTCTCACCTGAAAGCTAACACGGTACCTAGCGATACGCAGTGGCCGATTCTGTTGACGACCTAGACGAGGATTCCTCACCTATCGAAGCTGAACGCCGGCTAATGCAAGTGTCATGTCTGTGACCCGTGTAACTCTCCTCCGCTAACTTGATTCAGTTACCTCACCGATCTTAATCGTTGGGGAATTCTGGCGCTTGTTCGAACGGCGCCCGAATCTCAAGCTCGTGTCCTCGGCGAATTCTTCCAAAAGCATTTATGTGCACGATCCTCCATCGGGGTGTCATTCGCGGTAAGTTTTCCTAACCGTGCTGCTTAATTCTCTGTGTAACTGACATTTGCTATAAGTCCGAGGGACCTGAAATGTTCACCCTTGAGTTCCACCTGCCTTTTCGAGTGTGGCGAATCACTGATTCTCTAATGCACGATGATCGCGTCAAAAGTTCTGATCAAGAACCGCTTCGGTCCTCACGGAATCTTACTTTCCTGGTGCCCACGTCCCATAGGTCGACAAATGGAAAAGTCCATGGCGTGTATTCAGGACACATAGGATGTATGATCATGGGATATGACCAGAGCAGGTGGACAGCTCACTTCGCTATCGACACTTGGTTCGATGAATGCGAGGATGCGCAGGATAAAGTCATGCGCTACCAGTATCATGTTGAAGAGGGTATGGAAGTCGATCCACTCAGCTGCGGCAAGGATGATGCGAACATGCCCATCTGGCATCCAAGAGCTTACTTTCTCAGAATCATGGGTATCAGGCTCGAACAAGTCAGAGATGAATGGGAATTAATCCGCCAGAATCTACATAACGGCATTGTCAGTTTCGTGAGTACTTTTTGTCGAGTACGTTTTCTGGGGTGCAGGCTTTAACCAATACCATGCACAGATCTCGAAACAGAAGGAAATACTCTCTAGGATACGCCCATTTTCGACCGGGGCTGATCCTGAAGAGTATGGACAAGAATTCGAGGCGTTCGAATCATCACTCGGTGAACTAAAGCCAATTGTACAGGAACTTTCACATGACTTGCAGGAGACTCTGGAGATCGGCGAATCATTTCTGTCAAGAGAGGTTAACTTCTTCTTGAATTATGACGGATATCCCGGAGATGCTTCAAATTGTTATCCATTTCTCTCCGAAATACGGCGAAAGTTTAATGAACTGAGACAGCTGTGCATCTTTTTCAAAAGCTTAGAAGCAAGGTGTGTTGACATGATGGATAACAGTGAAGCCGCTAGGAGAAAAGTGCGTATAACCTTTTGGCATTGTATTCAATTGAGTCTCTGGAAAATGCTTACATTTCTCTCCTCGTTGAAGTATTTCTTTCAACATGGCGATCCTCGATCTGGCCTCCTAGACGCGATGAAGATTTCGGTAAACTCCTTTTCTGACATGATTCTGCCCTTGTGTACCTAACTCAAAGACTACTAGAGAGATATAATTCAGTTACAGCTGAATCTTGTCGATCTTTCAAAGGTATTCTTCGCCAGCAACTCCACAACGTGACAACGTTAACGTTCAAGAAGCAACTAGAAGAAGTGAGGGCTAGGCCTGCACAGCTTGCTACCGTCGACCAAGATAAGATCGAGGAAGTCCGGCTCCTGGCTTGGAATCAGCTGGTATGTTACTGGTAACATTTTAATCTAGTCAAGCCAGTGATACTGACACTGACGAAAGTTCACGTCGCCCTTCACCCACACCACCGCTTTGTTTAGCGCAGACGACGTCATCCCTTTCAAGAAAGATTGGAGATCTTTTCTTTTGTCTAACATATGCGCATCAGTCTTAGTGTTTTTGATCAACAAGGCTTTGAAACTTTGGATACAATACACGTCCAAACGACCACAAGTAGAAGAGAGGAGGATTACAGTCATCACCCGATCGCTTCTTCCATTGCACAACAACCCCAGCTTGGCGACAGAGATGAGAGAAACTCGCACTCTCCCAAACAATCAACAAGTCGCCCAACCAATTTTGCGAGCACAGACTGATGGAAGCTCAATGACAGAGTCCACGTGTGTGGAGCCAGCAGGGCCACAGATTATGCCTTCTGAAGCTAGCGAGACAGTGGGTGTGAGATCGCTAGGAAATGGTGAGGGTTTCTCCTACTGCAGCTGTATCAAGGGGAGTTTCTCGAACTATTTGTGGAGCCCCCGCCGGAGACCTCCTCGATCAGAAGACCTCGAGATGGGGCAAATAGAGGTATCGCCAGCTGCCGGGACCACATAGTACGGCATGATTCTTTTCTGCGGCTCTCATACAGGCTGGGTTCTTTAAGTCTCATCTTCTTTTGGTTTTCACCCAAGTTTTGTTTTCATCACAACTTTTACTTGATACTGTATTGATACCCCAAGGGGCTTACAACAGGATTCCATGTACAATACTTCAAGAATAAACGCCATCATTGGAGCTGTCCAAATCTGACCGGCATTCTGCCGTAGTCAAAGGATCAATCAATGTTCGGCAAACTCATGCGATCCAATCAGGAAACGATTGAGACAATCCAGACAATTGTAGTCTAGCGTCTTGACGAAAGTCACCCCAGATCGTCAGTGATCCACAGAGTCCAAGAAGCATAAATCCCATTAAAGGTTGGGCTTACCCTACTTGTCTTATCCACCATGGGTCTTTTTGTGGCTTCCACCCCAAATGAAAACCTCAGCGTCCATGATCTCGGATGGAAACCTACCGAATTTGGCATAGGCACCGGCAAAATGCATCCAAAAGTTTGGCAAATGATAGCCTGAATACAGGAGCCTTTTACTGCAAGGCGCGACATGTTCGGTGAACGGTGCCATTGACCATTCCAAAAACAGACCCCAGTAGTCGGCTTATTGCTCTGATTGGCAGTGAACAAACTGAGCAGCGAATCATCTGGTTGAGAAATGCAGCTAGGACCAAGCGATGGTCATGTAACTCGGTGTCATTCTCATACATGTATGCATCTCGCCTATTGCAGAAGCAGGCGGCAGGCATGCGGGCGCAGAAATGTCAGCATCGCTCGCATAGAGCCTGGTGCCGTTATCATTCGATTCGGCATGTGTTTTCACTCGACGCTTCTTCTGACATCTCCCACTGTTTCGTAATTAGTCTCACAGCATTCGTTTCAATGCCGGTCGACAAGTCGATCAAGCATCCTGTGGCAATGCTCCTAGCGTCTTGAAACTGGCTGAGCCTTTGCCTCGCGCATTTGCGACCGGAATATCACTGCTACGAGGTACCATATGCCGGAAAATCCAGTACACCATCATTCCACTGAGAGCCTGCCTGGCTTTCTGTCTGAATGGTAGCTGCTGTGTCAAGTGTGGATGTGTGGATATTCTTTGAGGCGACATGTGACGCCGACCTGCATTCCCGGGTGCATCCTCCTCGGTCTTGCGATATCCCGTGGACTTGGGGCAGCAAAACGTCTCGGAAGCCTTGAGCGAGCTCTCCCATATCATTCAAGACCCTCCACTTGAGACTGATAATTAAAGCAGCCGCGGTCGCATCCTAGGCAGAGCCACCAAGTCTTTCCTTCTGTGCCAATTTACCACCTGCCTCTCAAATTTCGAGGCGTGCTTGCAAAGCTGTAAAAGCAAGCGTTCTGGTTTAATTCTTCCTCGGACTTCGAAGCATTATTCCCCTGCCTGCTTCTGTACTTATTTCACTGTCGGCCTCGTTTTCTTCAACGGACAAGATATATAGGTTGTACGACACCCGAGCCGAACTCCAGTACGAAAATAATATCTCAAAAACAGACGCAAGCCCTCACACGCAAACCCTCAAACCACTTCTGAAGATGGCATGCGTTCGAGCAAGCGACGAGTCCTTGACAAGTTTCGAGCTGCCTCATTCACACAGGCCACCATGGGAAACATATCTTCCGCCGATCTCAGGGCGTTCAACTTGGATCAACCCGTTCTCTTGGCCGCGGCGTTTCTTTGAGAAAAAGCTGATCGCTAAGGAATGGGAGAACTCGCCCCGCGCCACCACAAGATTTCAAACTGCCGACCAGAACGGCGATATCAACTTCCTCCTTAACACTGAAGAAGAATGGGCCTCAAATAAGTTTCACATTGATGCAGTTCTTGACATCTTCTGCGGCCAAACGTTACTGGAACTAGAAAGCCCAGTCGCGAGCATCCCGGACGATCGCAAAACAGCATTGGTTATTGATGGAAATACGAACAATCCGGCAGGACCGCATTTACGACCATTCGCAGGAGGTTTAACTTCGCAGGAACTTCTGAGAGAGCTCAGAAAAAAGGTGCAGACTGATTGAATCCAACCAAAAACACTACTAGTTTAGTTCTAATCTCTTGCAGCGTTATGAGGAGCTTTCAAGTGATAACAAACGTGAATCTGATCATGGTGCCAAAGATGATGCAGAGAGAAGGCTGATGTAAGCTCCTGTTTCGTTTCTGATCAACCCAATACGGGATGAGCACGAGGGCTAACTGTCCTCAGCTTTGTTGAGAATCTTGATTCCTGGGGCATTTTGGCACTCGCAGGATCGGCACCCGAGTCACTTTCCCATGCGTTGGGTGACTTGATTTCGAACCACATTTGTTCAAAGTCATCCATTAGAGTGTCGTTCTCTGTGAGCATTGACTCTCGTTCTCTTTTTCCCCGTGACAACAGCCATCGAGAATCAATGCTCATCAACTTCCTTTATCTATAGACATCGGGCCCCCCAATCTTTGCCCTCCATTTTGACATCCCGTACCGAGTATGGAGATCATCCAGGAGCCTCAAAATTGATGGCCGCTGTAAACGATCCTTACAAGAGCCTCTCAGATCATCAAGAGATGTGACGTTCCTGAGACAACGGGTACACGAAGCTGATATTGGTCACGTTGATGGCATTTACGCCAGTCAAATCAGCTGTTTGGTGACAGGGCATGACAACTGGCGATGGACTGCTTTGGCGTTTGCAGAAACCTGGTTCGAAGAAGCCTCAAGTTTTGATCCGACGCCGGATATGGTGACAAGATACGAGCAAGACTTTGAGGATGGCTTTCTCACCGACCCTCTATGTCGTGGGAGATACGATGTTGCGCAAAACGGATGGGATCCCAGAGGCTACTTTGTTCGGGTGCTAGAGATACGACTCGTACAAGTGTGCCGAGAATGGGCGTCAGTTGTCTCTAATCTCGAAAGTGGACTAAGGACCCTAGTAAGTCAGAAATGTGGCGCTTTGCAGAATTAAGTATTGATGTGACTTGGTAGGCCACGACGCACAAGCAGACTCTCAAGATGATGCAGGACACGAGCAAGCACACCAAGCTAACCTCGATTCAAATGGACGAAATCCTACAGAATTTTGGAGACACACAAGAGAGGGTCGGCAATGCCAAGGGCTTGCTGGATGACATTTCGTTAGACCTTCAAGAAACGGTTAGAAGCGGTGATTCGTTCATGGGAACTGATGTCAACTACTTTCTTCACAATGACGGATCCACTGAGGATGTACTTGACTGTCTTCCCCATCTTTCACAAATACGAGGCATGTTCAACGACCTACGACACATGCAGCAGCGGTTGGGAGACTGGAAGCAGAAGTACAAGGAGATGCTAGAAGACGGATTCTCTGCTCGCAAAACCGTAAGTTGACCAGCTGCTGGTCCAAATCCTGAGGTCAGAACGAAGCTTAAGTCCACAGTACCTGCTCCAGTTCTATGCCAAGAGTAATGAACAAGTTAGTGAGTTTCAACTTAACTGAAGATGATGCCACTAAAATTAGACTAGACTGGCCCCAGTCGCTCTGCGTCCAGCAATAAATTGATTTCAACAGGTGTCTCTCACGAAAACTTTGCTTCTTCTTGCGGCATATCTGACAGCGGGACAAGATATGTCGCTTACAAAGTTGAAGTGCTTCCAGAAAACCAACGGAAAGGCATTATACATGACTTGGAGAGGGAGAGGGACCCAAATAAGCATCGGTTCGCAATGCTCGGGACTTTAATGGTCATGTTGTCGCTTTTTCTCGGCGTCACCTGGTTTTGGAAAACAGGTGAAGCTAAACAAGTGACTTCAATGACGGGGCTACTGCTGGTATTTGGCATGATAAGCATGGCTACCGTTCAGATCATCATAATTCGGCAAGTATCTACTCGTTGCAACTCAGAATGTGGTATGGATATAGTATAGTGGCGGGTTCTCTATGTACTGTTTCATACTATTTTGTCGTGTCTTGTGGGAATTTACATCGTACTTCAGCCATATTCTAAGGTTACGATCACCTTTTCCATGTTCACCTCAGGTTTAATGAATCTGTACAGGGCTGCGAATTAGTCAATTACGATCCATTCCCAGCTTCAAGGTACCCTAGAGAAGCGATGGGGTGCGTTGGAATCAACGTCTCCTATTTTATGATTTCATCCCTGACCAGGACCCTGAGCAAAGTGTGCTTTTGGTGTCATGTCAGCCCAGGCCATACTCATTTAATCCGTAACCAAGGTTGACCTGCATGCCTGAATAGAACCTCGCGTACTCCCTTTCACGCACGAGACATCTTTTGCTTGTCTTTCGGGGTATTAAAGGACGCAGTCGTATGTGACGAGCAAAAAGCGTTGTGAACCAATCAGAAGTTACTGTGTCAGACAGCCTAGCTTTGAGAAACCAGTGGTGGGAGCCACAAATTCTTCCCAAACACGTGCATGACGCGATTAATGGCGCCTGGGCGCTGACGCTGCCATATGCCGTACTCATTGTGCATTCCCACTGGCGGATAGTGCCAAGGTGCGGACTGTGGCGGTATACCGTATGCAGGCATCTTTAGGAATTCAGGGTCATGTTCTTTTCTTTCACTCCGTTGCTGGTTCCAGATCGTTCATTAGCTCAGAATACTGCCGCCAGAACAATTATGCCACTGATGGACTCTAATGCCCTTGCGGGTCCTCGAACTGACCATGCGAGCACGTAGTGAGTTGTTAGACATAGTCGTCCCGAAATCGTATAGTGCTAAAACTGATCGATAACTGGCTGCCCCCCGTACCATGTCGTGCATTACTACGTGGGCACTTACGGAACAGTTGTCGCACCCGTTTAAAATTTCAATATCCTGGTCGACGTCCGTATCAGAGAATTTGATCGAGGAGGTGTACCGCAGCACAGGAATCTCAGAAGGGTCCTAACATTGAACCAACGATACTTGTAAGTATCCTGGTCTTGAGCAGTCTGACCAGAGACGAATCATCTGAAAGTCTACAATGGCTGCATGTATCCGTACTGATTCATGACCGATGTTTTCTTCCTAAATGTCCTCTTCTCCTGCATATCGTATTTCTGCCTCCATGAGTCAAGTTTATAGCCAGCCATTACATTTCCTATTCTTGGGATGTACATAAACCAGTGTCACACTTCACCCATCGGCCCAAGACATACATGCTCCTGTAGCGTGGAAATCAAGGAAATTGATGTCCAATCAGATCATGATCAATGCGAATCTAAACCAATCCCAACCGCTTGCTCAGAAAGCCAGCGGGTAATAGACGCTGGAAAGGCACCTCGTTGGGGAGTCCAAGGGATAAGTGCCCGGCACCAACGCGTCACAAGGCAGTGCACATTGATGCGACAGGAATTTTAGCCACACAATGGCATTGATTTGATTGGTTCCCCTGCTGCTGTGCGCAAAAGGTCTCGGGACGACTATGGTCGCTGTTTGCCGTCGTGTCCGGCATCTATCGTCTTTTGAGATGCTGTTCGGAACCCATGGCGACTTTTCATAAAAGGGTGGCATTCTGCCCCAGGTAATTAGGTGGTTCTCAGTTCCCACCAACACAAGCCAGTAGACGCCCACCACAATACGAATCGATTCGCATAAGCAAACAACATCTGCCTTCCTGTTATTTGTACAACACTTTGAACCCCATTCAAGTCACCAAAGAACTGTCCTCCAAGTGGGACTGGTTGACGACCTCAGCAGCACTGTGGGAGGAATTGCTGGGTTTGGCAACGTGGTTCAGAACAGTCCGACATAATGGTACGATCCGCTCGCCCAAAACCAGCTGTTCGATGCATCCGTTATCAGTCTTTCTTTCACGTACCCTAATATTCAACGTTCCTCCTAGGCACCTCGGAAAAGACATGCGTTCTTCTGGACTTGCGTGAGTCCCTCCCACGACCGTACCATATTTCAAACCCTTCCTCACCTGCGAGCTCGACTGAGAGAGAGAGTATATGTAGTGCTATTGCGGTCAAGGAGGAATGGCTGTCATTGTTGATCCTTGCATCACCTGCCGTTATCCGCGCTGCGCACGGTGCCGCGTCGATCGCCGCTCGATAAGACAAAATCTCCGTAGGTGGTTTGGAAATTAAAACTCGGATATTTAGTTGGGTGGGGAGTATCACTTGTCGAAAAGTTCGGAGAAGTTCTTAATAGCCTGCGAAGCCTTGACATAACTGACAAACTGCGTCTGCCGAAAGAATTCACCACCCTCATCTTATTTTTTTTTTTATCCTCATCGAGCCCAACAAGATTATGGAGGTCCTGGCCATTGACCCTGAAGAACTCCTCGTGCTCAATTTTTACTTTCGACGATTTGTGCGGTGACATTCAGAGAGTCTGTCTACGCCAGCAGGAATTGAAATGGGGTCCATACTGCTTTCTTTGAATGGTAGAGGGCATAGATCAAAGTTTGCGCATGTTGTTTTCGCGCCAACAAACTAAGTGCATTTGTCGCGGTCTTCTTGTTGGTTTGGGGGCTGCGTCTTGGTGCCTCTAACTACAAACTCAATTACCCTCGATGAGGCACATGGGAGATATCTTCATCGCATCAACTCTTTGCTGACATTCATCATGATCCAACTCTAAAGGCCTTTTGGATGAAAGCTGTCACGAGAATAAGGTCTCTATTCCCATTGACAGCTCTTACGCCAACAGTGAGGCCAATCTCCGACCTGCTATGGGTGCTTCGTCTGCTAAGAGTTGTCCGAGAGACTGTAAGAGGAGGTGCGTGAAGATGAAGCGCCTTGATAAGACTCATGTGTTGGCCTGCCTGTAGCTGTCCGACTGACATTTTTATCGCCCTTTTACTCAACAGTATGATACATGTATTTCTTGATTGGCATATTGCTCCAGCAACATATATGATTTAATCGTTTGGCTTAAAGGGTTATGGGCAGGAAACCTTTTTTCTCAACTTTCGATTTCCTTCATACACATCATGTGGAGATCTGAAGCAACGTGGATGCAAGACACGCGAACCGGGGAATCGGACGGGGAATTATTCAACGTCTCAAAGAATGTGACACCCCTACCCTCCAGGCGCTGTGCTGGCCTGAAGCTTGATATTCAGAACTTGGATGGAATTAATGCTGGCCAAGTCCCCTGGCTAGTGTGTAGTTACAATTAGCGGAGGTAGACCGGCTTACTTCTCCCCGACACGCGGTTCAACAGGATTGGGCCCGATTGAGGGCTCTAGACAGCCCAGCACTACAAATATAAGGTACTTACTAACTTCTTCTCATTTTATAGTGTACATGGAAGCACTTTCAAAACGCCATCAATCCGACTTGAGTCAGAACCGCGCAGGGTTCGAAGACCTCCTCTAACACCTTAAACGCATGCTGAACCCGACGTAGAAGTACAAAGGTATGATCAAAGATGAAATACTATCGAAAAAAAGTTATATTATTAGATAGCATCTTTTCCAACTCTAGACGAACTAGTCTCAAATCAGTCTAACCCATTCGGAGCCTCCTAGGACAGTTTAGATCACTCCAGCTTCGGTAACTATTGTCATATAGCTCTGTCCTGCTGACAAGTGTAAATTGACCGTTGATTAATGCTTACTCATAGGGTTATCAGTCACTTGTTCTGACAGCGGGAAACCTCGACCCCATCAGCTTCAACCGACAGTGGAAGAACTTCGTGATGGCCATGGTTATCGTCAGTGTGGTCATGGTACTCTTCATTTGTTCCCCTGAGCCTGCCTACTGACAGTGCCCTTTTAGGAGGCTTTCGGTGAAAATGACCACGCCCACAAGTCTCGGTACTAACCCTGATACCCAGCTGGCTGATGTCTGACCTATTCAACATAGAGATACGCTTCTTACGAGTAACGTAGGCTGTTTCCAAAAGAAGAAAGACAACTGGGCTGTCGTAGCGGGCAGCACTCAAGGGCATTTGAATGAACAATAACTGCTTTTGGACTACATTCAGAGCTCTGCACCACGTGAAGCTGCAGTGTATCCTCGAGCCAGTGGCAAGTTGAAACTCCGCGACGTCCACGACCGCAATCTTCTCCATTGGTGGCAGAAAAATAAGCTCAACTGAAATTTGTTTTTCAAAAAAAAAAAAAAAAAAAAAAAAAAANAAAAAAAAATTTTTTTTTAAAAAAAAAAAAAAAAAAAAAAAAAAAATGCTTTAGTTATTCACTTCTCTTCTCTGTAATCTTTTTATTTTACAGTTGGTCACTTTTGGCCAAGTTATCTGGACGCAAGGTCCTTTCGGTCGGAGAAAATGTGTTTCCCAAAGTAAAAGGTCGATGTGCATCAAGCCAAAAACCAACTGAAGACATGGAATTGCCTCTATAGGTAATGCGAAACTCCCTAATGATTCATGCGAAAACTCGGTCCAAGATTTTCCCAAGCAAGATCTGTCGACGGGCCGAGGCACTCCCGTAATGTTGGGCCACCACGTGTTGGGCAGACGGTACATGAGCAGCTTACGTCTTGGCACATCCATGCTGGTGTCGCTGTCGGGCAAGCTTATCTTGAGTGAAGTCACTACTTCGGCTACGGCCGAATGAGAAACCGTTGAAGATATGCAGCTGGATACCGGGACGAAAGCAGGGCAGCCTATCAGCATGGGCAACTTTTCCCCCTCTCCAACAGAATCAATCTCCAAGACGAACATAGTCATAGCCCAAACCCAACCAAGCGGCCCGGCACACATTGCTGCAAGTGTGTCCAATCTAATCATGCCGCGTCAATTGAAAAGTACACTGCTTCATGCCCGACGACACCCAGATGATGAGTGTACTCAGCCTCCCTTCAAGAAGGACTTTCAAATTCCCATGTCAATTGTGACAATGTTCTTTCTCTCTTTCATCTCACGCACCAAACCAGGCTGTGCAGAAGGGAATGTAGGAAGCAATCACTATCACACACCATGGCGACTCTTTCCATCAACGGTCTTCACTCTTCTCTCGAGAGGCTGAGCCTCGACACTCCTCTTCCCTCTTTTCCCCCTGCTGACGTACTAGTACGTCCTCTCGATATCTTTCGCTCATACATTGCGAAAATCGTTGCAGAGGTCACGGGATGTGATCCAGCCCTTGCGTACGAGGCGATTCAGACTACTGCAGCGATTTCCATGGGCGACTTGGCAGTTATTTTGCCTCGGCTCAAGATCAAAGCAAATGCAGAGGTTGCGGCAGAGCTTCTGGCGAAGGTAAGTAGCGCTTCTCGCCTTATTGAACTGGACCAGGCTGACTGGATTGTGCAGTTCCCCAAGTCTCCCCTTTACACCTTCCCGTTTGTTGACGGCATCCACATCCGAATCTTTTCCTCCCCTTTCACGCTCCCCAGACTCCTCCTTCCCTTCATCGCGGACCGAAAGGAGCTATACGGTGGCGATGAGTCGTTCGGCCTTCGACCCGCTCCTGACTCTGGAAAGCTGAAGGCTATCGTCGAGTTCTCCTCTCCCAACATCGCCAGCGAGTTTGAGGGTAGACACCTGCGCAGCACCATCAACGGCGCTGCCATCGCCAACCTGTATGAGCGTATGGGATGGGATGTTGTCCGAATGAACTACCTGGGCGATTGGGGCAAGCAAGTCGCCCTTCTTGCCGTCGGTTGGGAGAAGTTCGGCTCTGATGAGGAGTTTGAGAAGGATGCTATCCGCCACCTTCTCGAAGTCTACAACAAGATCGTGGAGGCCTTCAAGCCTGAGCTCGAGGCCAGCCACAAGGCAAAAGCCGACAACAAGAGCACTGCCGAAATCGAGTCGCAAGGTATCTACGCTGAGCGCGACGCCTTCTTTAAGCGCTTGGAGGATGGCGACGCCGATGCCATGGCTTTGTGGAAGAAGTTCCGTGACGTCTATGTCGAGGACTACACCAAAGCCTACGCGCGTCTAGGTATCAAGTTCGATGAGTACAATGGCGAGTCACAGGTCACGTCTGAGTCTATCGCCGAGGTCGAGGCTGTTCTCAAGGACAAGGGTGTCCTCGAGGAGAGCGAGGGTTCCTGGGTCATCGACTTCAAGAAGCACGGCTCCAAGGGACTGAGCACTGCAGTGTTGCGCAACCGTACCGGCACCACTATGTATCTCCTCCGCGATATCGCCAATGTCATCGACCTCGACAAGAAGCACTCCTTCGACAAGCTGATCTACGTCGTCACATCCGACCAAGATGCCCACTTCGCTCGCGTCGCAAAGGCCATCGAGCTCATGGGTCACGTCGACCTCGCCAAGAAGCTTCAACACGTTGGCTTCGGTAAGGTACAGGGTCTCTCAGCGCAGCTCGGCAACGCACACCTCTTCGGCGACATGATTGACCAGTGTGCCGCAGCTGTCAAGACAGCCATGGCGGAGCAAGAAAGTGGTGCTCCAGCTTCTGCCGCTGAGCCTTTCGGCATCACCTCTTTGATCGCGCAAGACATGCACACCAAGCGCGGCAACGGCTACGCATTCGACAGCAAGAAGATGACTGAGTTTGAAGGAGACACTGGTGCTGCACTTCAGTTTGCATATACCAGACTCAAGTTGGCTTTGGGGCAACTTGAAGCCGATCCCACGGCTCTGGCCGACGTTGACTACACACATCTTCAGGAGGAAGAGTACACAAATCTTCTCCGACTCATGGCACAGTATCCCGATGTCATCAACGCCGCGTACAAATCGGTCGAACCTTCCGCCGTCCTCTCGTTCTTGTACCGTCTTGTCGAGCAGCTGATTGAGTGTCTTGATGTCGACGAAGATGAAGAAGCGCCTGAGGGTTCGGAAGTGGACCTTGCGAGGGCCGTATTGTATGAAAATGCGAAGCAGGTGTTGGAAAACGGAATGAAGGTTCTGGGTATCCAACCATTGGCGACTTGAGCTGTACTGTATCGCTGTGCATTTATGCTGATCATCTGGAATGCTTGGCTTTGATGTTTGGCTTGTTTTGGTTTTATGTCTTTAGGACAACAACGCCTTGGGACAGTGGGCGCTTTTGACTCTTTGTTCATTGGCACAGCTTGATGAGATGATGACCTGACGACTACATGAGCACACCTCAACGCATTGGCTTTAGGGTTATAGTTTACCGCGGAGCATAACAATTTGAAGATACTTGTAATCAAAACATTTGCCTTGACTTCTATTCGTTGACTAGCTGAATGTCTCTTCAATCACAGGGATTTCCTTTTCCTTCAGCCCATGTCTACATTTTCATTGCCGCTGACTGTTTACATCTGAACAAATCTCTTTTGTCTGGCACTGCTTGGAGCGAGTCTCGATGGAGTTCTGACTTTTAGCAACACTCAGTCTTGCGAATTCTTCTTGTGCTGGCCGTGTCATCCCGGTGGATGTCTTCAATCATGGTCTCGTGCACTTGAAAGTTCGAATACTCAAGGAATACATCAGACTCCCGCTACAACTGAATCACGGCAAGATCAGTCCATCGGTGTGACTTCCTCCATTAAAGTCTCACTCAACTGGGCTACAAAAGGGCCTCTTCTCTCCCTCGTCTCCAACGCAAACAAACTTCCACACCTCATCATCTTCATATCCATCCTTCGGCGTCATCATTTCTGCCATCGTCGCCGCCTTCATCATTTCTACCGTCGTCCGTTGCCGTCGTCCGTCGCCGTCGTCCGTCGCCGGTGTTCCTTCCTCGGTTGCTCAACCTCCCCAAGTGCTTCAGAAGTGATTCACCTTGACGCCTTGCTCATCACCTTTTTTCTTCACTTGTTCAATTCACCTTTGTCTTTCCAGCTTGGTCAGCACGTCCCAAGTATCGCACAAGCAACAACGCGTCTGCCAATCTTCATCTCGACGCGTGGGACCTCATCATATTCAATCTTGACCCCAACATCAACACCAACTTGCAACTATCACTAGCTTGTTTCGCTGAAAGACCCCTTTTCGCCTCGCAGCAACGCAATTAGGTGAGTTAGTCCTTTTTATTCCTCTCTCTCCTTCTACATCGGCTGATTCTGGACTATAAGAGGACACCATCAGACGCTGACAGCCCTCCACAAACCTCTCCCTCAACAAATCATAACTACACAACAACCATACAACCATACAACAACTTCTTTCTTCGCCTCACAACCGCAACTGGGTGGGTAGCTCCTTCCTTTTCGTCTCTTTCCTTGAGCATCAGCTGATTCTGAACTATAAGAGGGCACCACTGGACGCCGACAGCCATCCATAAACCTCTCCCTCAACACATCACAGCCACACAACGACACCACAAGTCACTGGGCCTCAACCCTCTTCCACCATACATACATACACATCACACAACAACGACATCCCCACTACATACCGTCATGTCTGGCCGACGCGATAGAGGAACGGCGGTCATCACGCCGGTCGAGCGCGCCCGCCGCGCCGAGCGGGCTAAGGAGAAGATCCGTGAGGAGGTGACATTCACCCCCGCCCTTCTCGGCCGCGTCCAGTCACGCGTGGACGCGAACGCCTTCCGTCGTTGTATCTCGGACAACACGATCTACCAGTCCATCTGCAACTCGCTCAAGGACCAGAACCTTCCTGAGCGCGAGCGCCGCCCCGATCTTGTGGACTTCCTGGCCCTTGAGGCCATTCTTCCTGTTCAGTACAACGGACAGTACAACAAGGTGCTTAAGGATCTCTTCGTCCGTTGCCACACGATCTCCTGGGTCAAGGAAGCCATTCTTAAGGCCAACCACGACTGGTTCCAGGACCAGCTGAAGGAGTCGAAGGACTTCATCCGCACCATGATCAACAAGGTCGACTCCCAGCTTCTGGAGATCATCCTCGAGGACATCGAGACCAGCTTCTGGCGCGAGAACATCAAGGACCACGTTCTCTACAAGAAGGTCTACCACAAGCTTCTGTCCGACACCGCCCTCACCCAGCGCGACGTCCTCACCGTGGTCGCTATCAACGGAGGCAGATACCCCACCGAGATCTTCCGTCACCTCGTTATCAAGCAGAACTCCGACATGCTCAACTTCGGCAACAACATGCACGCCCGTCACGATCTCTACGAGGATGAGGAATACCGTGGCTCGGCTCCGGCCTACATTCCTCAGGCCAGCAACACTTTGCAGAGCCAGGCCCCTACCGCCGCCCCTACCAGCTCTGCTGCTAGTGCCACCGATGGCATCGCTGACCTTGAGGCCATTGCCGAGGCCATGGGAGACAAGAACAAGAGTCGCGAGATGCGCAAGAAGATCCAGGAGATGAAGGAGCTCATGGGTGGTGATAGCCTCCGAACCGTCCGTGGAGGCCGCGTCCAGAAGCCCCAGAGGAGCACTCAAGGACGACAGGTCATGCAGTCAATCGAGGAGGACGACGACGACGAGGACGATGACGAGGTGGCCACCAAGAAGGAGCAGGTCAGCCCCGCCACCAAGGCCGCGCCTGCCCGTGCTAAGGGTGGTCGCAAGACTGGCTAAAGGTATAGACTAAAGCACTCAGGCATCTATATGGAAGGAAGGAAGGAGAGACTGTATGATAAAAAAAGGAGCTTGAATCGTCTCTTCCAGCGGTAGTTAGCAATCGGAGCCCATCATTTCTGCTCTCTGGCGTCCCAATCGCCCTCGTCCGGCCTCGCTGTCACAGGTGATTCTTCGTGGCTCTGTGATCTTTGTCCTTGTTCCAGATGTTTCATTGTCTCTTTTGTTCAGCACTGCCCTTGTTCCTTGATCTGTCTATTGTCCTTGCCTTGGGGATGTGTGAGTGTTACGTATCTGTTCACTGTTCGGCGTCTTCAGACTCGTAGAACTCTGGAATATCTGCAAGATGCTTTCACATAGGCAACAGGCAGTGTCTACGAGACCGCAAAACCATTTTTGAAACAAGTGGTACACTGCGGCCTGCGCTGCTCGTGTCCGTACGGAGTAGATTCATTCATTAAAGTAGGTAGTCATGTCATGTTGCGATCAACTTTCAACTGTCATCCTCTGTTCTTTAAACCTGCTCGGGTTCCCTCGGATTGCTCGTCACCACGAACTCGGTCTTCTTGACGATGACCGGCGCATCCAGGTGATAATCCGTGCTCCCATCATCAGAGCTCTTCCCCCTTCTTGAGCCGCCCTCGATACCGACCTCTGTCTCGTTGCGGTCAATGCCGCTGCTCAGGGGCTGCATGCCGCTCATCCCCGGCCTCCAGCTCTGTAGCGCGTATCTGCTTCCGACGTTGCCGTTGCCAGTGGCGGCGCTGCGTCCGTAGCCGCTTGCGCCGCCGTATTTGTTACTCCTACTCCCTGATCTGCTCTTCTCGTTGAAGTACTTGACTAGCGGCGCGAGGGTGGGCACGCAAGTGACGATGATTCCGAGGTTGTTCTCGACGGTGGACCACATGATGAGGGGGGCAGAGTCGAGGTAGTTGGCGAGAGAGTGGACGGTTTGGATGCGGATGATTTGGATGACGGTGATGAAGGCGCCGAGGCCGAAGAGGCCGAGCAGTACGAACTTCTTACGCTTTTGGATCTTCGAGGTTGCGAGAACGGGGAATGGTAGGAACATACTGTTGGGTAGCTGTCAGCTGCTAGGAAACTGAAATTGGAATTAGCAGGACTTACACAACGATGTCAAAGACAATTGTCAGGGCAGCCATGCTGGTGTAGAAGGGTACACCAGGAATACAAGAGCCGTTGGTAATTGTCGGATCCCACTGCTTCGCAATCTAGAGGCTGTTAGCATTAGAATAAACACAAGACTTCAGTGCATCGTACCGGTGTGCAGAGGTTGATTTGCACAACCAAGAAAGCAATATGGTAGGCGATGCAGAGACCGATAGTCGCAAATGTGCTCCATCTGTAGATTCCCTTGGGGATAAAACGAAGATATGATAGAAGCAAGCTGAGCTTGAATCCGAGAATGCTAGAGATGTAGCTGTCTACTGTCAGGATGGAGTGCCTCGACACAACGGGGGAAAACTTACAATGGAGCTCCGGCGTACTGCAGAAGGCCGAACTCGTAGAGATTCTCTTCCGGCATGTCGGTCAATTTCTTTAGACCAAGGCCCCATTTTGTTTCTGTGAGGAATTGTTAGAGGCTGGTAGAAGCTTTTCAAGAGATATCAACTTACGCATGATGCTCACGACGGCAAAGCCAGCGGCGCAGAACTATGACACTGCTGTTAGCACCGAGAATTTTCTTGCTTCGTGGACTTCATCCTACCCAAGTAACAACGATGACCCAGTCATCTGTATCAATCAACGTCAGCATAAATTCTTCTCAGCGCTCGAGTCGCTTGAACGTACCGGAACCAGTTGCTTTCAGCATCACCATGCGGACGTACAGCCGCAAGGCCATAATGACCAGTGACAAGGCCGTGAACACAATCGCAATAGTCGCAATCTTGGGTCCATCGGTATCCGTCCCCGGCGGGGTGTTGTACGTCCATGGCGGTGAACTCATGGCTGTGATCGACTCTCGAAATACCCTCCTTTGGGATCCTTGAGGGCAACTCGTGGTGCGGTGAGCTATAGCCAGCGGGTAAGGCTGAATATCTGGCGTGCTGACTATCTCAAGAGGAGGTTGAGGGGACGGGAAGTGGGAAGCAGCCACTGCTAGCCGATCGAACCGACGCGTAGCCCCGGGTAGGGAAGAAGGAGTCCAGGCGCAGAAAGTGGACGTGGACGGGTGTGGCGGAGCCCGGTTGGCTTTAGACCGCTTTATCTGGGCAGGACTTCGTTCATAACTTCATCAGACGAGGACCTGCGTTCGCTCTTGCCAGTTCTTCATTAGACGCGCCAAGAGGGAGAAGTGGAGGGTGTGGGAGATAAGAAGACTAATATTCTTTCAAAGTTCAGCATGGCCTACCTTCCCCCCGAGCAACTCTCTTTCCTCGTCGGTTCCGACGTCTTGGATTGGGCTCCAGTCCCGACCGTTTGGACGAGAAAGGGCGTCCCCTGTCGGAGGACAGGCAAGATATCACACTTGCAGTAACGGCCAAGCCGGCTGCAGGTGCGAACTCTGTGCGGTATCTAGCCCGAATGTGTGTGAGATGTGGGCTGCGCCATCTTGTTCGGCTTCATCCCTCGGATCATCAACAAGGTAGGACGTCCGTCCATCCCTCCACTCAACCCTCGTACTATGCCGTCGGTTCGCGTTTGTAAGCATCTTGGGCAAGAACCATGAGGACGGAATACGGGGTACGAGGGCAAAAGGGCCATGAAATCAGACCCTTTGCTCTTCACCCCCCGCCGGAGACCGTGCCGACGTTGCATTTCAGGAGCACGTCCTGGAGACGAGCCGGCCCCGGCTTGCATCTTGCAAAACACATCGAGTTGCGACCAGTCACTTGAAGCTTCGCCTGGACGAGGAATTCTAGGGTTCTAGAAGCAAAGCTGGCCGCGGCACGCCGGAACCATGCACCGCTGCAGGTCCCCTGAGATGCACTATGCAGTACATTACATTGTACGCGGCACTAATTAGCGCAGGTCCAGGGATGGTGGTGATGGGAAACTTGATTTCTCCCACTCGGGAGCTTTGTGGGAACGCCGTTTCTGAGGGAGGCGGCTCTGACTGGCTGCTAGCGGATGTTGGCAAAGCCACCTATGGATGGCCGTGGCATCTGAGTCCCAACCACGGAGTCCTTCCGAACAGACGAAGTTGCAGTTGCCACATGACCAAGATGAAGGGACAAAGAGCCTCAGTCTAAGCCAGACTCGGGCGACAAGTCCTTCCCAGTCTCCTGGACTCTTTACGACACGGGAGTGATATATCACATTGGGGGCTAGAATGGCGTGTTGAAGAAGTGCGCACAGGTTCAGAGGTGACAGCCGGGAATTTTGACAACTTGGCGGGCTAACTTCACTCAGGTCTAGCCTCCAAGTCTTCAGCGTGTAGCTTGCATAGTGGATCGAAGCGCACCCGAGGTAGCCCGAGTTGGTCTGTGTCGCGATGACAACTCAATTGTGACATACGAGGATATCCCTGTCCGAGACACGCCGGTTCGGGCAATTGTCCATGTGTGGTAAAGTTCGTCTGCTCCGGTATCGACCAGCCATCCCTATAAAAGCAGGTTGTCTCAGTAAAAAGGCTCTTCCTTGAGGGAAATTCTGGTCGCAACGTTTCAACGGCGCGTTAGTCGGCGTTGGATAAGTCCCATGGGTTCCAGAGAATTTGCTTTTGTTCATCAAACATCAGGTTCCAACGCACAAAAGTTCGCTTGGTTGAAGAAGTTGCTGTGCCACCACGTGGGACCTGGAGTGCCGACTTGGCCTGAGCCCTTGGGGCAGCCCCTGCTGGCGGTCCACACAGGAAAAAGAAGTTCCAGAAGTTCTCCGGAATTCCGCTTTTCAGGTGAGAATACAGGGTGAAGGATGCACTTTGCAGGTGAAGGACTTGCAGTCAGCCCAGTCCCCCCAGGCTCTCACGGAGCAACCCCCAACTTCGGGGTCCAGCGGAGCCAAGAAATTAGCTTTTAGACGTGGGCTGCGATATCAGGGGATGGAAGCATCCCGTGAGAGCCGTCCACGGCCTCGACTTTTTGCGAGCGCTTTGACGATGGGAGATTTGCAGTCGTATGCTCCATTCGTAGGGAAATCATTGCGGCCTTTTGCGGATTTTGCGTCGCTTTCGGATCCGAATGCTGACGGTCAGAAGTTGTGGTGTTCAGCCACACAACACGGGGTGGACCGAAAGATCGGGACGGGACGAGAGTCTGTGCTGCTGTTGTCAATCTGACCTTGCCAACGGTGTGGCGGCCGTAGCCTCTGTCTGTGCATAAACTTTCCTTGCACAACTCCTGTCATCTCTTGTCGTCCATCTCAACCATGGATGGTCGCAGACGGATTACTCCAGCGCAAATACCAGATTAAAGGCAGCATCAAGCCCGTCTGTTTACTCCATGAAAACGCAAATCCTCGAACAACTCGAGTTTGGACGAATGTTTCGATTGACATGGCTCGTTGCCTCATTCGTCAGACCAGAAGAAAGCATCCGTTGGGAATCTGGACTGCCAGCGAACTATGTCACCCAAAGCCAGGAACTGGAGTCGCAAACATGTCGCAGTTAGTCAAAGATTGACCAGATGTATCGGCTCCGATCGAGGGTTTTTACCAAGGTATAGCCGGCTCCTCCATCATCCATGGGCCATGCGTAACGGTCGCCATCCGCGATGCTGCCCCCCGCTCTCGAGATGTGGCGCCTCGTACGATGCGGCTTGAACCGAATCTTGGAAAGGTCTTCCTGTTGCACGGCTGATGACGAATTTCAGGTTAGACCACCGCGAGGCCCCTGCTATTCCCCTGAGAAAAGATGAGGGGCTTCTTAGTGATCCCCTTCTAAACGACCGGGATGTGGCTCGCAGAATCCCCACTGCCGGCGTGGGTTCGATTAGACTTCGACTCAACACATCCCCGCAGCTTCAATTTCCGACCGAGGTCGCGCCCGACGATAACACGCTAGAGACCTCAAATTCGCCGAGGCAAACTCCGGATCTTCTTGCGTGCGGGCAGTCTCTATCCGCACCAACGAAAGGCACAAGATGTTGTCGATCGAAAACCACCAACAGAGAGGGTGTATGGACGATGCCTCAAGCTGGTAGCGAGCGGGAGTCTGCAGGGACGCCTGCCGCCTGCGAGTTCTGCAGCACTTGGGACGGAAGCGAGAGGACCAAGCTTTATCTGCCGGGGCACCTGACTCCTTTGATCTGCAGCGGCTCGAGGTCCCGCTGAACAAGACTCTTGCACGACGCAAGCCTGCGGCGTGGAGCTTCACCGAGGTCAGCCAGACCAGGCCCAAAATCCACCATCATACCATGAGGACGGGATTCCCATGGTCCGAGGCTCCAGTGCCTTGATATGGCGGAAGTCGGAGCTCAACAACGCCGCCCGACGCGACGGAGAATGAGCAGCGGAGACTGGACTTGACGGAAATGTCCACCGAGACATCCAGCATTCATTCTCCCCCCTTGATTTCCGGTCGATATCTAGGTCGGTATTGTCCTCGTTCCTGATCCACCGCCCCCAACGCTTAGCCTACCCAGGGACAAGTCCAAGCAAGGGGCCCAAGGAGACCAGCCACAAACGGCACTACATTAGCATCGATCCTGGGCTTTCGATCCTCTCTATCATGGCGACCTTGCGAGCTGTATGGATTCATCAGCACCAAGTAAGGCCGTACGCGGCAAACTTCCACTAGTTCGAGGGGGCGAAGTCGTCTTATAGGTTCCCAATCTCGGGTCAGCCATCCCAGTCGGGAAACGACTTCACTAGGATATTAGCGATGGAACCTACATGCCGTAGTCCCGGAGGCCGGGTAAACGCAGTCTGCAGACTCGCATCGTACTAAAATGGCCGCCCTTGGCCGCCGGCGAGCAGAAAAAAACTCTCTTTTGATGAAGGGATCCAGCGGCAATACACTCTCTTTTACTCTCCCTAGCCGTCAAACGTGCCGATCTTGTGCCTCTTTGTCACTCGTCGCGCGTTATCCTCTCGTTTCCCTCCTCCCACCTTCCCACCTCACGGCCGAAAAGTCAACATGAAGAGCTTTGTCCTCCAAGCGGCCCTCTTCGGCGCCGCTCTCGCGGCCCCCAACCGTCCCGGCTCCGGCTTTGCTCCCTTCGCCGAGCGTGCCACGGACTGCAAGTGCTTCCCCGGTGACAGCTGCTGGCCGTCTACTGAGACTTGGAATGCCCTCAACACCACTGTTGGCGGCAGACTGATCGCCACTGTTCCTCTGGGCTCGCCTTGCCATGACCCTACCTACGATGCTGCCACTTGCGCTACGCTACAGAGCGAGTGGCAGGACTCCGAGATCCAGTATGTCACTGTCCTTGACCGATGTTTGGTTATAGCCGTCTAACAATCCTGTAGCATGGAGTCCTCCTCTTCTATCATGGCTCCTTTTTTCGCCAACCAGAGCTGCGACCCCTTCCAGCCGGAGTCGCGTCCCTGCCTGCTGGGCAACTACGTCGTTTACGCCGTGAACGCCACCACCGCCGAGCACATCCAGGCCGCCATCTCCTTCTCTCGGGAGCATAACATCCGCTTCGTCGTCCGCAACACCGGCCATGACTACCTTGGTCGCTCCACCGGTGCCGGTGCCCTCTCCGTGTGGACTCACCACATGAACAGCATCGACATCGTCGACTGGGCTACCGCTGCCTACACTGGCAAGGCTGCCAAGATCGGCGCCGGTACCCAGGGCTTCGAGGTTATGGAGGTTGCCCACAACGCTGGTCTTGCCGTAGTCGGCGGCGAGTGCCCTACTGTCGGTATCGCCGGTGGCTACACCCAGGGCGGTGGTCACTCTGCCCTCTCGACCTCCTTCGGTCTGAGCGCTGATAACGTCCTCGAGTGGGAGGTCGTCATCGCCAATGGCACCCTCCTGACTGCCTCCAAGACCGAGAACGCCGACCTCTTCTGGGCTCTGTCTGGCGGTGGCCCCGGCAACTGGGGTGTTGTCACCTCCATGACTGTCAAGGCTCACGCTGACGCCAAGGTCGGAGGTGCCACCCTCGTCATCATGGCCGCCGACAACGACAACGACGCCTTCTTCAACTCCATCGATGCCTTCCACGAGGAGCTCGCCGGCATGGTCGACAACGAGACCATGGTCGTCTATTACTTCGGCGCCACCTTCTTCCAGATCGCGCCCCTGAACGCCTTCAACAAGACCTCCGACGAGGTCAAGACCATCATGGCCCCCTTCGTCGCACGCCTCGACGCCCTCGGCATCACCTACACCGTCAACTACTCCGAGTACGACAGCTACTACGGCCACTACGACAAGTACTTCGGCCCCCTGCCCATCGGTAACATCCAGGTCGGCATCGCCCAGTACGGCGGCCGCCTCATTCCCCGCGACAACATCACCAACATCGGCTCCTTCTCCCGCAGCGTCGCCGCCAAGGGCGCCACCTTCATCGGCGTCGGCACCGACGTGAGCAAGTTCGGCAACAAGGACACCAACTCCGTCACCCCCGCCTGGCGCAACACCCTCGTCCACGCCACGCTCACCACCGTCTGGAACTTCACCGCCCCCTGGGACGAGATGCTCGCCAAGCAGACTCTGATGACCGACGTCATCATGCCTGAGATCGAGGCTCTCACCCCTGCTGGTGGCGCGTACATGAACGAGGCTGATTTCCAGCAGCCCAACTTCCAGAAGGAGTTCTTCGGCAGCAACTACAACTCCCTGGCGTGCCTGAAGAAGAAGTGGGATCCCGAAGGATTCTTCTATGCTCGCAACGCTGTTGGTAGCGAGTCGTGGAGCGTTGCCAACGATGGCAGGATGTGCCGTGTTTAAGGTGTGAAGGGACAGAGATACTATGTAATGACCAAGAAATAAATTTGATCCGTCTGTCAGGATGCTGTGCCCAATGTCTTCAATTGTGTCTCTTTGCTTGCCTGCAATTGTGATTCTCTACCGTTAACTATTCAGAGCCTCCGGTCGCAAGTGCAATGACCAACATGAAGCGAACAGAACGCAACGAGCAACGACAACCGCGTGTTATGAAGATCATACTACATCTGTCTAACTGACTTCTTCATTCTATTCTCTGCGATAACGTCGGCATTACCTATAGACCAATCAATGATTACTCCGTACTTCAGGGCCAAATCATGGACGCTTTGCTGCAGAATTGTCCACGCCCCAAGCAGACTGGACTCTGATCTCACCGGTCCCAAATGACCTATAAACAAAGACATGATTTAAACCACAAACAAGAATTACTTTTCAACAGCTATACTCAGCTTGACATGCTCAATCCCTTTTGAATCCACCGTCAATGGCCCGGCATAGCTACATGTACCTGGCCTCCTTGGACCCGATGAAAGGTTTACACAGGGAAAAGACGCTGGAATTTAGCTGCAGGATGTTTGCGAGTTGGTCTGCTGTAGAGGAAGCATATGGTGTGCGCGCTGTACTTGATTACTATGGCAAATAGATGTTGTCGTTCATTCAGTTGACTATGAACCCAAAGGGGCTGGCCCAGTTGATTCGAGCTTTTTATGTCTCCGGAAGAGTTAATAATCCAGCCAGGTATTTTCGGGCCAGGTATTTTGGGCACCATCCAGGCAAATAGTGACAGCATGGATGACAGGGATGAAAGATACAGCAGACGATATTATAGGACAATAAACCGCGATAGGGACGATGAGGGATGACGATGGGGGACGACGATAAATGACGACAACTGCTTCTAACACAGGAAACACCGAGGGTCTGAGATGAACTGGCGTGAGATTGACGGTTCAGATGAACAGCGTTTGCACATTCTTTTCAGCGATTGCTACAGCGCTGTTTTCAGTCACTCATTTTACTCAGCGTGGATATTCTTTCGTTTTGTTTTGTTTTCCTTCAGCAGTAGTCACTTCTCCACATCGTGGGCTTTTTTCCCTAACACATCACCGTCGCACATCATGATACCCAACCTAGACTTTTGACTTCATCGTAACCTTGGCATGTGTGACCCTATCATGACCATGAAATGCCTAATCCTGGTGAGTTCTGCAGTTCAGATTCCGCCTTACATGGCTTACATGTGAACGTGAGAACCAGCTAAGACTTTCAACCACAAATGCCTTGTAATAAGCCATTGGTAATCATTTATCCTTTAATGAAGTTCCCACACTCCGTCTATGTAGTCAGAAGCATGCGAAGCCATCGCGGGTAGTTCCCATGCACCAAAAATGTGGTTGGTGGTGGGCGGGAACAGAAACCTGTCGGTAAACCCGATAATGACGGGATTTGTGGTTTCGGGTCTTTCACAGCTTGGCAAAAAATCATATTCCCTCGCTCGGTCTGTGCGTATATTTTTGCTCTTATCCTTCTGGTCTTCGTCGATGATAGAGTGTGATAAGCTGTCCCTGATTTCCTGAAGCCTGCTTATTTCTTCCCTTTCTCACGATCTCGACATCACAGATACTAGCTTAGCTGTTTGCAAGCCTCGCTGTCCAATAATCATAGTCACTCGTTTCCTTCATCATTATAATTTGAGATCTCAAGAGGACAGTTAATTCCAGGTAGGATGATTGTGGAAATAACTGACACATGCCTCGGTGTTTTCTCCCGCTTAGTTATCGAGATCATGTTGCTCAGGTTCGCTGAAGCTCATTCGGCCGAGGTCTTCCACTTCGGATACTGCTTCTCAAAGATCGCTGTTCAGTGTCATAGGACTTTGACTCATACCAACCTTTTGACGTCTCTCTCAACTTTAGGTTTTGTACTTCCATGGTTTGACTACCTAAAGGAAAGTCGACAGCAGCTTCAACGGACGGAACCTCCGATTCCCACAATGGAGTTGGATGTCCGTCGCTCAATGGTAGCCGAAAATGGAAAGGGTGGATCCTCATTGCGCATTCTGAGTGGACGGAATTGCAACTCCATCATGGGTCCTGCCCCAGTCCTCACCGGGCATCGCGAACAACTTGCTTCCCTCAACTTTGATCATATGCTTCATTCACCGATGCGTCAGAGGAATCGCCTCTCAGTTGTCTCCGATATCGCCCCGTAGCATGGCTATGCACGAGCCCCAGCGATCGCTTTCAGAAGACCGTCAACGGCCGGTATGGGATTATGACGAGCAACGGAGATGGAACTCCACGGTTCGTCGCTCAACCACCTTCCACGTACGAGCCGGCAAGACGGTGCGATATAAATACGCAGCTTTTATCTAGGCCTCATTTCTTCATCGTATATCTTTTGTTTTTTAACTTCAACCCAAATTCCTTATCATGGCTCCTTCTAGCGTTCAAGACCTGTTCGATGCCGAGCCAATGACTGCCACCAAGGTCCAGAATGGCTCAGTTGCCGCTGTCAGCTATCACAAGGGGAACTTCGAAATCTTCCGCCGGCTGGTTCTTCTAGCATCTGATGGCAAGATAACACATCTTAACGCCGGCTTCATGCCCCCGTCAAACCTCATCGTGGACGAAGCCATCCGCCGCTTCTGCTCGGAATCTCTTCACCATCCATCGCCCAAAGCTTGCTGGCGCCAAGACGTCGAGGACGTCCGTCAACTCTTGGCTCGGTATATCAACACGGATACATCATCAATAGCCTTTGTCCGCGACACGACAGAGGGCCTCGGAAGCTTCATCCACGGGCTGAAGTTTGAGCCTGGAGATAACGTAGTCATTCTGGACTGCGAGCACCCGAACCAGGCATTCGGCTGGATGGCACTTCGTCCTCTCGGCTTGGAGGTCCGCCTTGTCCCGACGGATCCCGGAAGACCTGTCGCCGCCAATGCGAAAACCTTCGCGCCCTATGTCGACGACAGGACAAAAGCCATTGGCTTAAGCTCAATCATGTTCCATAGTGGACAGTGGAACGATATCGCAGATGTTTGCTCTGTGTACAGACCCATGGGTATCCATGTCCTTGCAGATTTAACCCAGCAAGTCGGGTTCGCGGACGTGGACGTCCAGGCTCTCGGCGTCTCAGCAGCTGCTTTCAGCTTACACAAGGGGCTCAACACACCAACAGGCTTCGCAGCCCTCTATGTCGATTCAGCCGTCATCGAAGAACTTGACCCAACGCCTCCACTTGTTGGCTACGGAGGAGTAGCCAGCGTGAGCGACTCAGAAGACTTCATGATTCCGGAGGGACCGATCGTCTTCCATCAGACGGCTCGCCGATATGAGCACGCTAATATGAGCTTCATCTCGGCTGTTGCAGCTCGGGCATTCCTTCAGTTTTATCTCGACGTAATGCAGCCTAAGAATGTCGAGAATCATCTTTATGCTCTTGGAGATGCTTTACGCGAGTCCTGCGCTGAGCTCGGTGTCAGCGTCTTGGGGCCGAAGGAGAGGAGGCAACATGCGCCGCATCTTCATGTCCTTCAGCTTCATGATCCTCGTTGGCTTGAACATTTGACCGCTTCCGGAGTGGTTGTGACGAGGCTTAGGTCAGGAATCAGGGTGTCGTTTGGGTTCTACAATAACTTGAGTGACGTGGACAGACTGGTATCGGCTCTCAAGTCAGGAATTGCATTGGGCATCTCTTCAAGTTCCGTCTTCACAGACGGTCTATCCTGAGCTCATCCCGACAGAAAGGGGGGACAAGGGTCGAAACTTTGGTTTGGGTGTCGCAATTTGTGTGTCACAGCATCATTCCCATCGCCTTCCCTTTTCTCGTTTTTCGTCGCAGTCTCCTGTCGTCGTCTCCCGTCATCTTCCCTACAACGGTTCTTGTTTTCGTTCCCCATCATTGCCTAGTGTCTCTCAGTTTCATATGACATACCACAATCGATGCAATATGTACTTGAATTAGAAGACTAATAAATAGCGAGACTATCGACAGCTCAACGTTAACTTTATCATAATCAAATCGTGTCTCTCACTGTCTCACAGGTCCAGAGTTGTATCTGAGTAGGCGCAGTATGTGGTTGTTCAATAACTGTGCAGATGGCAGAAACTCTCAAGCTGCATACATAGTTTGACGCTCAAAAGAAAGGTGAAACGGGTTGTTTCGGTCTGAATCGAAATCTCTGCTCAACTATGACTTGTTGGTGCTAGATAGTGCTCATTCTTGAGGCCGTGATCGGATGATGACCTGGGTGGCTCCCTGTTCATGGCGGCATTAGCGCTATTCACGCCCGTACTTCAGGCGGGACGCGACCGCTGTTCCCCGCAACTTAGCTCCTCCAGCTTCCAACGACACCTGAACATGTTCGTCACTCATTCACGCCCTCCACATCATGCCCTCCCCGAGCAAACCAGTAAAACGAATTTCGTGAGCCAAGTGACTCTCCGAAGCTCTTGACCGATCGTTTGCTGACATACCACAGGTGTAAGCGATGCCAATACCGAAAGGTAGGTTGCTTCATCACCTCAGCACGGCCATACTCAGGGATCTGATGAGTCTCCCCCCAAGTTGAAATGCTCCCGCACAGAACCATGCCAGAACTGCGTCACCTCCAAGACCGCATGCGAGTACCGCGAGGTCGACCGCAAGAGAGTCCCCGTCTCACATGAATACGTCGCCAGCCTGGAAAGCCGCCTCTCCTGGTTCGAGTCATTCGTCAAGAACCTACGGGCCGCATTTCCCGAGCAGCGGGAGGAGATGCTCAAGTCAACCGCCTTGGACGACAACTCGCCCAGAAGTGAGACGCAAGCCCCTGGAGAGTACATTACCCAGCTCGGAATCCACGCAGGCAACCAAGCCAATCTCGAACTCGGGCTGGAGGGCTCGCTGGTCTACCACGGCGCGACGAGCATCTTCCGCGCCGAAGCAGAGCACGGGCAGAAGGACGTCACCGATCGCGTTGGTCAGGGTTACTACGACGGCGTCGAGTCGAATTTTGAGAGCGTCATGGAGCATTTCGGGATCGGCATGCATGATGAAGTCGTCATGAAGTCGTTAACGCAGTTTTTCCGGTGGCAGTACCCTCACTTCATGTTCATCTACCGGGAGGCCTTCCTGAGGGACCACTTTGGGGATAGGAAGAACGGAAAGTACTGGTCTTCGGCGCTGTTACTGTCCATATGCGCGCTGGGAGCTCTTGTGTCGCTTGACACGAAGGAGTCGAGCGATCAGTTCTTTCTGGCGGCGGAGAGCATTATCATGGTGACTGGTCTGACGCGGCCATCCGTCGCAACCGTCCAGGCGTTTCTTTGTCTGGCCTTCTATGAGATTGGAAGGGGCAATCTGTCAAAAGGATGGGGTTATTCAGGTGAGAGATAGGACTCTTTTCAACTGTATTTCCCGTCCACGTCCATCCTGGAAGCCAGCAGGAGAGCGACTTGACTGACCAGAGATTCAATAGGCATTGCCTTCAGAATGGCGCAAGACCTGGGTTTCCAAAGAGACCCCAAAGACTGGGTCCAGCACGACTCTTCACTGGCTACCCCCGAAGATGTCGAGATCCGGAGACGCATCTACTGGGGCTGCTACATCTCCGACAAGCTAATTAGTCTCATCCTCGGCCGGCCGGTGTACCTCGTCTACGACGAAGCGGAAGTGCAGCCCATGGAGACTCTGCCGTATGCCACTTGAACCCCTGGTTGTCTTCATGCTAATTCGACCAGTGAACCGCCCGAAATGGCATCGTGGCGACCAGTCGGCTTCGGTGACGAAGACACCCAGTCATCAAAGGCAACTTCCATGATTCCATACCTCCACGAGCAGATCCGTCTGTCGCGGATTATTGAGCGCATGATGACGACCCTGTTTAGCCCTCGTTCGCATCTAGACGACATCAGCCGCCGGCTATGTTTCGACAACCTCAACCTCGAGCTGAACCACTGGCGGGAATCTCTCCCCGACTTTGCGAAGTGGCTTAAATAGGGCCCTTCATCAAAGCCGATACCTGGGGTCTTTGCCCTGCAGTGAGTATCTCTATCCGCAATTGGATCAAAATGGGCGACTGAAAGACCGTAGCCTTCTTTTCCACAGCGCCCGCATCGCTTTAAACTACGATCAGGCAATCGCGACACGCGGCAGCGAGTCAGAGGAGAGGTCGCGGGTGTACTGCAGCACGTCAGCAACCGACGTGACGTCGCTCTTGCGCACCTACCGGACCCAGTATGGCCTGCAACACGCGCCTCTTGTGTTCGTGTACGGCGCGGTGCAAGCGTGCCGCTCGGCAAAGGCCTTTGGGATCGCGGAGGAGTTGCAGTATCTGAACCAGACACTTGGAGAGTTGTCATCGATCTGGGGCCTTTCTCGGGAGGTTCTCCGGCGCCTGGGTTGAGGGTTTCTTGTAGTAGGCGCAGGAGAAATACTTCAAATTTCATCGCAATCCAGGCCTCTCGAATTATTCCCGTGATTGGGGGTGGTCGCCAAAATGTCCTGCTTTTGGGGGGTCTTGACATTTTGCAGGCCTTCCAGCCAGCACTACGAACCGAAGATGGCTGGTTTCGACACGAGATGACACGAATTGTATTTCGAATTATCACACTCACGGTTGAACCGGAACACAAGACTGTTCTAGTACTGATCTTGTTAACTCACAATGCTCTCTTTTGGTCGCGATCGGAATGTGACATGATTGAAAAAAGTGAGGACTCCCCTCAGCCAAAAGGAGAGGGCGGACAGGGGGTAGTGCACCCTGGTCTATGGTGACCAACCGCCTGGCTGTGTTACCTCGGCGCTTATCGTTGAGTTCTGACAGATGCGATATGACCCGCGGGATTTGTACCCGTCTTTCTCTCTCTTTCCGTTGTTCATCATCCAATTATCACAGAACATTACATGATGGAGCAAAGGATGATTCAAGATGGAAGACGCGAAGTGTGGCCTTGCCGCGGTTGACTCGGTCTCGAGTACCCGGGTTCTCGCACCCTTGAGGTCCACAAACCCCGAGTTCCGGGTACAACATCTCCCCCGCCAAGTGCGCATGTCAAGAACAGGCAGTCTCTCTCATGTGCACTCCACGAATCGTGGGCCGTGAGTTTGTCCAACTACAATTGGCCGTCGTCACGACCGCGCCCGTAGGACCTGTGGACTTCTCCCCCAGCATCGTGACGCCGTCGGATGTGAACTATTGGAGAATTTGAACGATTGGAGAACGACGACCGCAAACGAGTCCTCCTCGGCACACGTGGCCGTGTTTCGACGGACAAGAAAAGGCTGGTATTCTATTAACCAGCCTTTCCAACGGGCTTGCTGTCTCACGATCTGCTTGCCATGATGAGGTAGGCTGTCCAAAGTCCCCAACAGCATCGCCTAGGTAGCAAACAGACGAAGGAGGCATCCACTTTGATATGCTAATTGGTCGAAAGGTCCCTGATATCACCGCTCTCCAGTTAACTCTGTTGGCGCTAAATCCGGGGAGGTTAGATACGACGAGGATCCCCAGCCGTTCAACAGAAGCAAACACATCGGAGCCTGCCTCCGCCTCCGAAATGTGCCTCCTTACACCAGGCCTGAAAAGCAAACATCGTTTGACAAGCGGGGTGGGAGGTCCACCTCACACGAGAGCGGTCCTGTGGCAAGCAAACAGCGTTCCCCGAAACGGCAGGACTCCAAGAGCCTCCAACGGCTTGCAAGCAGAGCTGCAGACAGATACCCAGGCGTGGGGACTCGGGCCCGGGGTTCATGCGGTTTGCTGCTCCCGCGGTGCGAATCGAGGCTCTTGCTCTCGACCCACGCGGTCCCCGATCGGGCATCTGAGTGCGCTTTCAATGGAGCAGGACGTGAATTGCTGCGCCGTCGAGACGCATCTATTGTTGGTGCAAGGTTCAATCTATTATCTTGCAAGAGCTGGTGAAGGACGAACGCAAACCCGCCGGCCCCTTGCGCCCGTGTAGCTCGCACTTCGCGGGGCCCCCGACGAGAGGTCTTAAACCTGGCCCCGTCTCCTCGTACCTATCCGATGAAGTTGCACGTCCCTGTTTTCCTTGATCCCTCCATCTCTGACGAGTAGCAACCATGGCCGAAGTAGACAACCTCATCGCCAGCCTCAACGACATCCACGTCCAGGACCTCCCGGACAACGCGGACCGCGTGCGCGTGCGGGATGCGCTCCTCCACGCCCTGAGACGGATGCAGACGCCGTGGGACATTGCCTGGGACCACGTCGTGACGCGCAGCGGAGTCAACGCCGCGATCAAGACGCTCATCGACGCCGGCGCGTTCAAGAAATGGGATGAAGCCGGCGGCGGCCCGATCACCTGCGTCGAGCTCGCCAAACTCGCAGGCGCCGACGAGACGCTCATCCGTACGTTTCCACCCTGCATCCTCCACGCTCAAAGCTGACATCTCCCACCAGGACGCCTCATGCGCTGCGTCGCAGGCCAATACCTCGTCATCGAAACCGACCTCGACACCTACACCCGCACGCCCTGGGCCGCCGCCCTCGCGACCGACCAGGGCCTGCGCGCATGGTACGCCGGCTTCTATCACGGCCTCGTCGCGCCCATCCTCATCTCCCTGCCGTCCTTCCTCAAAGCATCCAACTTCCGCAACTCGACGGACAACACACAGTCCAACCTGCAGCACTGGCAGGGCCGCCCGGACGCCATGTTCTTCGACTACATCGGCTCGCACCCGGACCTCGCGCAGGACTTCAACGACGCGATGGAGGGCAACTCGCGCGGCAACCTGACCAACTGGCCCGAGATGTTCCCCACGCAGACGCTGCTCGACGGCGCGCGGCCGGGGCGGGCGGTGGTTGTGGATGTCGGCGGCGGCAAGGGGCATGATCTGGTCAAGTTCCATGTGAAGCATCCCGAGGTCGGCGCCGAGGCGCTGGTGCTGCAGGATCTGGCCAGCATGTTGAAGGATGTGAAGCCCGACCCGGCGTTTACGGTGCAGACGTATGACTTTTTCACGCCGCAGCCGGTGAAGGGGGCGAGAGCGTATTTCATGCATGGTGTGTTGCATGATTGGCCTGTGGCGAAGGCGCAGGAGATTTTGGGGAATGTGGCGGCGGCGATGGAGAGGGGGTNTGGCCTGTGGCGAAGGCGCAGGAGATTTTGGGGAATGTGGCGGCGGCGATGGAGAGGGGGTACTCGAAGTTGTTGATTCATGAGAATATGGTGAATGAGAGGAATCCGGTCGCGAGGGTGACGTCGTTGGATATGCTGATGATGGCGGGGATGGCGGCGGCGGAGAAGACGGAGGGGGAGTGGCGGGAGATCGTCGAGGGGGTCGGGTTGAAGGTGGTTAAGATCTGGACGGGAATGGATCGGGGGGAGGCCATCATCGAGGCGGAGTTGGCGTGACTGGACTTCGAATCGGTTTCCTTGCTAGAGTTTTGGGTATCGTAAGCGGTCTTTGCGTTGTAGTTAACTGTTCTTGGTCAACAACATCATGATGAAATGTCAGCACACAGCCCGTACAAGGAACAACACCGATCTAGATATTTGGTCAGTTGAATGTATTCAGGGCCTCACGCTCATGGTGAGTTGGTTCACCACCAGGCAATGAAGTCCTGTGACGGCCCGCATAGGCACGATTAAGAACTATGTGTAATGTATAAGAGATTTTACTCTTTATGTCTTCTGGTATAAACTCTAGGAACCGCGTGATAAATAGTACAAATGATGGTGTTTATGGAATCTAGTGATCGTATCCTGCGCCGCGCTGCCATGGACTGCATGATGTGTCAGCTCATAATCATAAGACCAAACTCAAGACGGGAAAAGCTTACCTATTGTTGTGTTTCTGCCTAAACTCGTCCATTGTCGCAAACGGACTTGCTGGGGGGTCTTGCGCACCCGGTGTGCGGGGTGTTGTGGGCGTCCGTGGCCGCAGGGACGGGTCTGCCGGGAACAGCGGCATCGCCGGGCTGACGGCCGGCCGCGTCGTCGGCGACGGCAGGTACGACATCTCGTGGCTGTCGGCCGGGCCGCGCGTCCTGCCGTCTTCCATGGCCTTCTCGCCGCCGTATAATGAGCGCACCGAGCGGACGGACTCGCGGCGGTACAGGCCCTGCTTGTCGTCCTCGTCGAGGTCGAGGAGCGACTTGTTCTCGGTGCCCTCGCGCTTCGCGAGCACGTTCGGGTCGTGCAGCTGGCTCGGCACGATCGGCTGGCCCTTGACGCGCCAGAAGACGAGGATGCTCGAGATGAGGACCATGAGCAGCAGGACGAGCGAGAAGACGACGTTGACGACGAAGAGGATGACGCCGACGACGCCGATCACCAGGCCCGGGGTGCCGAACACGTTGGTGAAGACGAGCATGAAGATGGAGTTGATGAAGTTGATGGCGGCGATGGAGATGTTGAACGAGTTGGTGCTCTTGTCCATGAAGGGCTTCAGCACGCTCACGGCGATGAGGGCGCCGGCCTCGATGACGATGAGCGCGACGGCCTGGGCGACGCCCGAGGCCTGGCCGAAGGCGATCACCGCGGCCTTGATGAAGATGTACGCAATAAACGGAATGATGAAGTAGTACGCCGACGCGCGGTACTGCACGTACAGGAACCCCCACTTGTTGATGATCTTGGGGTTCGAGAAGAGCACGTGCGCGGGGTTCTGGTGCGTGAGGATGGACTGGCGCGCGATGCGGATGACCTTGAAGGAGGCCCAGATGAGCGTGAAGAGGGTGCCGAAGAAGAAGAAGACGGCGAGCACGACGACGGCGGGCGAGTCGCGCTGGACGAACTCCCACAGGCACAGCACGGCGATCTGCGGGAAGCCGATGAGGTTGAGGCGGAACATGATGCCCTTGAGGGTGATGGACCAGTCGCGGCGGAACTCGAGGAAGCGGTCGGCGCGCATCCAGCCCTTCTTGGCGGCGACCTCGGCGCCGCCCTTGAAGGCGGCGACGCAGGCGATGGTGAAGCCGACGAAGATCATGTAGATGATGAGGCCCGTGAGGAAGAGGTTCGTCGTCTCGATCTTGGCGCGGAAGGCCACGCGCTGGATGCCGTAGACGACGTAGGAGCCGTTGTCGAGCTTGATGTTGGCGCGCTTGGCGATGTTGGAGAGGCCGCGCTTGAGGAGGGGCCCGGGCCCGCCGTAGTTGTCGAGGGCGTTGAGGGAGCGCTTGGAGACCTGGACGGAGTAGGTCTTGAGGGAGCTGAGGAGGTCGGCGGCCTCGCCTCCGGTGGAGCGCTGGTACCAGGTCGCGAGGGTCTGGATGAAGCCGATGCGGACGATGCCCATGGACCACTGGAAGTTCTGCGTCCAGCCCTGGACGATGGGGGGCATGTCGACACCCGTGAGGCCGAGGAAGGCCTGGGCCTGGAAGTAGCCGAACAGCGACAGAGCGTTGGCGGCGAGGTGGGCGGCGGCGTCGGTGTGGCCCTTTGCGGAGATGAAGCCGGCGGAGATGAGGCCGATGCCGGCGATGATGGCGGTGGCCCACTTGACGCCGTTGAGGTTGACGGTCTTTCCGTTGGAGAAGTCGGCCTCGATGCAGGCGACGGTGGTGTCGGTCTCTGTGAGGTTGATGAGGGCGTGGACGGTGGCGTCGAGGTCGGGGATGGTGTAGGCGATGCTGGGGACCTGGTCGAGGGCGTCGCCGAGCTCGAAGGAGAACTCCATGTTGATCTTGCCGGGCTTCATGGGACACAGGCCCTGGAGGTCCATGCTGCACGGGTCGATGGTCTTGCGGATGTACTCGTAGCCGTAGACGCGCAGGGCGACGTCGAAGACGGCCTTGCCCTCGACGGAGACGACGGCGGCGACGTTGCAGGTGACGGAGCCATTGTTGGCGAAGACGATGATGTTGAAGAGCGAGGCGGAGAAGTCGGACTGCTTCTGGCAGCTGTTGAGCGAGAGCGACTGAAGGATCTTGTCGGCGCAGACGGAGGGGAGGAGGGCGGCGAAGGAGAGGTAGGTGAGCAACGGGGCCAACCGTGAGAATCGCATGATGGGCGGCGGCTCGGGGGCAGGCGAGGGAGGGGGTTTTTCTGTCGTCGGTGTTGTCGTCGGTAGTAGTTGAGTATCTCGAGATTCAATCGGAGCAGCTCTTGGTGGGATGTTAGCTGGACGAGGGACGTGGATGGCGTCAATGGGTCTTTTTTGTTCGATTCGCAACTCACGATATTAGGCCGTGACGCAGGATGGTCTTCTGCTGGCTGGGGGTTCAAAGGAGTGTGATGGCATAAAGACGCAGGCCGAAAACCGAAAAAGAGATGAAACAAGCAGCAGCTGGCATAAAGCGAAAGAATGAAGAAGAAGAACAATGACAACGAGTACGCAGGGCTTTCTCAAAGAGTGGACGGATGTAGAGAATCCAAACGATCAATAGCTTCCAAAAGGCGAGCGCGACGTCACGTCGCTAATTGGGATCGAAGTCGAATTCCAGGAAACATCAAGATTCAAGACGCAGAAAACGGAGAACGAACGGCAGCGGATGGAGAGAGGGCGGAGCCGCGTTGCTCTCTGTCTCTCTGGGCTGACTAGGTTGGGTTGGTTCGCTCACTCAGACAGAGTCTCTCTCTCTCTCTCTCGCTCATCCACTCACTATTCGCCAATGCTGGCTGGGCTGGGCGTGCTGCTCGAGAAAGGGGGCTCGCCATGCTTCTATGGACCCTCATTGGGGACTGATGTGCAGGCGTACCTGCCAAGAGATCTGCCTCACACGCCCCTTTTTTACCGCTAAACGCGTACATGTTTTCCCAGTTCGTGATGATAAGATTAGTCGACGAGGCGAAGCAAGCTTGGGGTGGGGATCCGGCCAATTGGGCCAAGCGAACCAATGTTGCACAACTCGTGCACTCGGGCGCCTAACACTCTGCACTGATTCAGCACCATTGGTTGTTGGATGTGCCAAATGTGCCAAATGTGCCAATCAATTCACTAGCCAAAGAGTCAAACGTCGATCGCCAATCCTGCCAGCGTCTCAGGTGTTGGAGCGAACGCTGCGCTAGTTGGCCAACGGCCCGTTCCAGGCGTTCCTGAGCTCTTGGGGTTTTTCTTGGAGAAGAATGGAGGGGGGGAAATAATAGGGGATAGAGGGGAAGGGGGGAGGAGACGGAAACATGCAGAGAGAGCCACTGCAGCAATCAAGCACTGCTGCTGCAGCCCTTGTCCAGCTGAAGAACCCCTTCGCTCTTCTCTTGTCGTGCCTTGCACTGCCTCCCGGAGGACATTTGCTTTAATGGTTTTGCGGGTGCCTAGGACGCCGCGCTGGGTAACGAATCCTCCTGCCATTCCGCTAAGACGGTCCCGAGTGTGCCGAGAGAGCGCCTTCATTCCCCCTTGGGATGGGAAGTGGAAGGAGTCGAAGGATGGATGGATGCAGTGCCGTTATGTTCTGTCAATGAATAAGAAATACAGACCCGGCGGGGGCAGACGAAGGCAAAAACTCCACTGTATTTTCCCGAATCGTGCGGACAGGTCGCCGGAATACGAGTAATTCCTCTCCCACTTTAGCGAACCGGTGGTAATGTCGTCCAAATGCAGGGTTGCATTGCATTGGGGGTCCAACAGCATCTCGACTAGCGGGAAAGCGGCAAACGTCTCTCTCATCGTGAATTCTCTGGCCAACGATCTCAATTGAAATCGAAACTGCGGGCACGATCTCGGGCCAAGACACAGCAATGCCTCAACGCCATGGCTGGTTTTTGATTGATTGCCAGTAAAAAACGTCTGGCAGTTTCAGGTCGCCCGCCAATTTTTTTCTTCACAAAGGGATAGCAGAGGGTGGAGTACGGAATGGGCGCAGCAGAGCGGTTTACGCGTAACGGACGCGCCGCCCTTTCTTGGCCCAGCGGTTGTGTTAGAAGGGAAGGTTGGCCGATGTTGAAATCGTGCACTCCGGAACTCTGTCCCATCTCAACTTTTCAGACGGAGCGGCGGCAGAGAGACGGGCCCGGACGGACTGGACTGGCAGGCCGTCCTCCCGATCGATTTCCCGAGGGTCCACTTTTCATCCCGGGATGCCGGAGGGTGCCGACTGGCCGCATTGCTCCGTCTACTCAACCACGGCGGAGCAATGCAACTCGTAGGCATTTGATAAGTCGTATTTTGCTACCTACAGGAAAATGCGCCTTGAAGGAATTGCTTCAGCAGTTCTGAGTGAAATCTGACCGTCAAGCACCGATGGAGCGTCAGGTACCTTGCCGACCAGCCCGCACATCCCGTTGCAACAAGACTATCACTTACACCAACATGAGTGACTTTGAAACTGACCAACAATCTTTATTTCATTCATGCAAACATTGCATATCGCTATTTCCCCGTCACTAATCCACCACAAGCTCTCAAGACTCCCACTCACTCCCAAGCCGCCTCCCCCCAACCTCAACAGTCTCAGCCGCCGCCTGCACAAACACCACCCACCGCGCCACCCCGCCGTCCGCCGTGACGTTCACCCACTTGTGCTTCGTCGCCCGCTGCACCACCGAGTCCCCGGCGCGGAGCACCCGCGTCTCCCCCGAGTCGAGGCGCAGCTCGACGGCGCCCTCCAGGATGACGACGACGTCCAGCGTCATGGTCCGGTGCATCGGGCTCTGGGCGCCGGGGTTCAGCGTCGTGATGAGGGTTGCGGTGCCGTTGTCGGGGCAGATGATGCGCGTCCCGGGGAATGAAGGCTGGGTTTGGTCGGTTTGGTATTGCGTGATGTCTGATTCGGTGGAGAGGTTGACGGGGAAGGTGTGCGTTGACGAGAGGACTTGGATGGAGCCCAGTGGGAGGGTTGGCGATGGGCGGGTTGGTGGGAGGGTTGAGAAGACGGCCTTGCTGGAGGCGTCGTGGGTTGTGATGTAGTGAGACATCGTGATCGTGATGTGTGGTGGATAATTATGAGGACTTGGCGGTGAGTTGGCGAGAGCAGTTGCGGGTTACCACAATCGTTTTGTGTATGTCTTCGGGACCAACGGACGAATGTACAAAGTTGCAAACCTTGCGAGGCTAATGACGTCGATTGGACGACTTAGCGGAAAACATATTCCTGTCTGGGTTGGTATCTAGATTTCTAAGCTTTGATCTGGATCTGCGGAGTCGACTTAGTCCATCTCATGTCTTAAAGTCTGCTCTACCCGAGAACCAACGACGGAACATCTGGTAGTCTTAAAGCCTGTCATTTTAGACTTTCGGAAACCCTCATATTTACCCCAAGTCCATTATTTTCGAGTTTGATACTCCATCATAGGCTCTCTCAAGACCAAGCACTTCAAACATGTCCCATCTCACTTTCTTCACCTACGAAGGCTTCGGCTCCAAGGCCCTCGAGTCCCACGCTTACAACCAAGCCGTGCGGATGGACAACCAAATCTGGATATCAGGTCAAGGTCAGAAACACCTTCCCAGCACACACCCAGAGCCACAGGCTCACATGATTCTTAGGCGGCTGGGACAGACAGACGACGGAAATAAGCCCGGACGTGGCAACACAAATCGACCAGGCCTTTGACAACGTCGACTTTGTGCTCAAAGACGCGGGCGGGAAGGGGTGGGAGCAGGTGGCCGTGGTCAGGTCTTATCATACCGACCTCTCGGATGAGGCCCAGGAGGTCATGGTGAGGAACTTTCGCAGGTGGATGCCGAATCACAAGGCGCTGTGGACGGCTGTCGGGGTGAAGAAGCTGGGGGATGAGAGGATGATTATGAGCGCAATATAAAGTCATCATATTTTGACCTGTTGGTGGCTTTATTTACAGTGCTTTTCCTGCTTCGATACTGATGGATCGTTTGTGATTAGTAGCTGTGTATTGAGGTTCAGAGAGGGACATCAGCGAGGAATCTTACGATCAAGAATCCATGCTGTCTAATGAATGTATAGCACATAGGGACAATGGAAACGACAGCCATGGAATCATACTCAGGTCTACAGTCTGATATCTACTCTAGCATTCACACTTTACAGCTGGTTTCAACTCAGCGTAATATTGGCGGCTCTACGTTACAGACATCAGTTGTCCAAGTATAGTTTACATAACGGATTGCCATACTGATATTTGTACCATAGCCAGCTATTTTGACTGTTCTCATAAAACTGTGAGACTCACTGGTAATACAATGCTCAGCTTGGCAGGCTATTGTTAATCTGAGCTGGCCAAGTTTCCGTATTGACTACACCCAAACTCTTTCACATGAGGAATAATCGAGCTCGTGTCTTTGTTCCGCCAATATAGGCGAGAACTACGGAGAAGTCAAGTCTAAAGTTGTCTGATGAATAGGACCTCTCTCATGATTACTCATGACTGCTGTCAAACGCCAGGTTCGGGCAGCTGCATGACGGACGCTTGCATGCTCGGGTTACCATGCATGAACGGGTGCCCAGGAAATGCAGGGCAGTGAAGAAAACCACATAATATTTTCCGAACCCAGAGACATGATTCAAAGCCCTCCCAGGATCAGCACCGACGAGCTCAGAAACGGCATGGCCTGAAAATTATCGTGAAATCCTCAGTGACAGGGAAGATGGAAAATTCAGTGACGCACTAACGCCGCGGCCAGGGATGGGAAGGGGAAGGTGTGATTGGCCAGAGCACCGGGTCGGGGCACTTTTGAGCTCTCTCATTGGCCATTATCTTTTTGGGGGGATCTAATTGGTCTAAAATGGTCCGGGTAGGCGGCGAGCTCCGACAGCAGCAGCTGGGTGGCAGCCACTGTGAGATGACGGGCATGCGGGGCGCAGCGCTGCGATCCATGCCCAAGTGGGGCCCGCCCAGCGCTTTCATCGCGGGGCTCGCCAGCAAAATTTCTCCCCTCTGCTGGGCTGCTACAGGGCCACAGCGCATTTTTGAGGCGGTCCTGCAGCTGCTGCGGGTGCCTGAGCCAGTGGTGGCAGCCGCCTATGATTTTGGCAGAGGGAAAAAAAAAAAAAAAAAAAAAAAAAAAAAGGG